CCGCCGGCGCCCCCCGGCCCGCTCACCCCGGTGCCCGCAGGTCAGCTGCAGAGGGCGGTGAGGCGCTGCCCCCAGCTCTTCACCGTGCCCCGGAAGAGGATGGCGGCGGCGGTGCGGCTGCTGCGGGAGCGGTGCCTCTTCACGGCGGAGCAGTTGAGGGAGGTGCTGGGGACGTGCCCCGCCGTGCTGCTGGAGGAGCCGCGCCGCCTCCACCACCACTTCCAGGTGAGGGGCCGGGCGGGCCGGCCGCGGGGAGCGCCTGCGGCCTGGCGGGCACCCGCCCCGGCGCCCTGCCTGAAAGACCCTGTCGCACCCGCAGTACGTGTACTTCAGGATGGGGGTCCAGCAGAAGGAGATGGTGAAGGCCCGTCTTTTCCGAATGCCCTTTGCCGAGCTCAGGAACCGGCACATCTTCCTGGAGCGCCGGGGGCTCTACCAGACCCCACACAAGGGACAGACCCAAACCAGTAACCCAAAACTGAAGGACATCCTCCAGCTCCCGGAGAAGGACTTCCTGGCCAGCCTGGCCCGCTCCACCCCAGAGGAGTACGAGGTCTTCAAGAAGCTGCTGGCTCAGGAGGAGGACGAGGACGAGGACAACGAGGACGAGGAGGACAGGGATGCACTGTATGCAGAGGAGGATTTGGACAGTGAAGAAAGTAAACCAGCCCGGGAGTGAGGTGCCCAAGCTCTCCCATGCTGGCACACTCCTTGGCCCCACTGCACTCGTGGGTGCTCTGGACCACCACCCCACCCAGGCACCAGCCTTGGTGGCTGCTTGGGCTCCAGGTGCGGGGCTCCGCTGAGGGGCAGCAATAAATCCCATATATCAGAATACATATTCCTCATTCCTCCTCCTTAACCAACTACTTTAAAAAAATAACCAGTTTCCATAAAGTGTTTTTATTTAAAAAACAAAAACAACCAAACCAAAATAACGAATTTATTTCCAAGGCTAGGTTAAAACCTTCTGGCTGCATTATGTATTGTGCTGCCTATGGGGCGGGAGGCGGCAGGATGCTGTGCTGGCTCGTAGCAGGGCCGTGCTTCCCCTCGCTGTGGGGACAGGCCCCACAGCAGCACCAGCTGGGCCCAGGGGCTGTGCTGAAATGGGACTGTCCCGTGGCGGGGCCACCTCCACCTTTGCAACATTGGCACTGGTCGCATGGCTGACAAGGTAGGGGTGCAAGCAGCCCCAAAACCTCCCCTCCCTTGTGGGCAGCAGAGACTGTTCTGGCTTTCCCCTGGCCCTGCTCTTCCAGGCAAGGGCTGGCTTCTCATTCCCTGGGGGAGACAGGACGCCTGGGCTCACCTTGCAGCAGGAGGAAAATGAGGCAAGTCCATCTCTGACTCCAGTTCTTCTCTGGGAGCAGAGCTAGAGCCTGTGCAGGAGGGGAGCATCACACTGGTCCTGGCTTTACAATGGCCCTGCCCCTCCCAGGCTGCTGCCAGATGCCTCGGCAGCTGCTCCTGCGGGCAGAGCACTCTTACGCTGCTCCTGGGAGGGAGAGGGTGGTGGCAGGAGCAGCGAAACTCCTGGGCCTGTTCTGCTCTGAGAGCATCTTCCGGGCTGCAGCTCGACACTCGTGGCTGAATAACAAAGCACGCTGCGATGCTCATGGGAGGGGAGGGCGGCCCCACGGGGATGCTCCCCACGCTGCTGGGGAAATAACACTCTATACCATAACTACGATATATCTCTGGTATGTATTAATTTATAATATACACTGTGTATGTCAATACACAAATCTATGTTTAACTAGTGTTGTCATACAAACTCACAAAAACTAGGAACGTTTCTAAGCTACGCTTTTTCCTTGCCTGCCCTGCTGCAGCCAGTGGGGCAGCCACTGCATGCTGGTCCTCTCCTGCACAGACAACACAGCGCTGGCATCTGGGCACCGGGTGGTGCCATGGGGAACGTAAAGGCGGCAAGCAGCTCAGGGGGATGGCACGGGGAGCTTGCTTCATCACCGAGCCCATGCTGTGCCCTGCCCTGGCTTGGAGGCAATCAGTGTCAGAACAAATGCGGTTTTAACACCTCAGCTGATAAATTTCACCCTACAGATCACTTTTAAAATTCTTTCTAGGTGCTCTATTGCTTTCTGAGCTAGAAATTTGGTTAAAACCAGGGATTGTTTACAAAGCAAAGAAAAAAGGCAGGCAGTAGAAGCTGCCTCTATTTCCCCCGCTAGAGCAGAGAAGACAAGGATGTGCCTCCACTGCCCGCACTCACCTCACTGCTTGGGGGAAGCTGCTCACCATTTCTAACTTGTCTACATAGGGAAGGTCTCCTCCAACCAGATTGTTGTGGGCCACATTTCAGGTGATAGCTAAGGCTTTTCGGTCTGCATTAAACTGTTTTATTTGGGGGTTATAGGTAATTTATAACCTTGGATTACGAAAACAGGTTGGTGCAGATGCTGTTGGCAGGGAGCTGGGCTCAGCCCCACCGACGCCTGAGCAGAGCTGGGAGCCCGTTGCTCGTGCAGAGCAGCTGGAGGGGGGCTAAGCGGGGCTGGTCCCTTCGAGGGGCAGCCAGCCAGCCACTGCAGTACACTGGCGCTCAGCTCCTCAGGGGCAGAGAGGCAGCCAGAGTAAGGCAAGCCAGAGCGAAGGCAGTGCTGGTCCGGCGGAGGGAGGGGAGTGCTGCTCGGCGTGCCAATCCGGCTGCATGTCCCTAACGGGCTGGAGGAGACGGAGAGGCTGATGCCAGGCAGGAAGGTTCCCCCGCTGTGTTCAACCCAGTGAGCAGATCTGATCTTCCTGGTGTTTCAAAAGCCCTTAGATGTGGAAAGACGAAGTTTCTACTGCTTTGAACCCTGTGAAGGAGCAGGAGAGGAATGAGCTGGTGTGCAGAATCCCCCAAAAGCCCCACAGCTGCCTCTTCCCACACTGTGCACCCGTCTCGGGCTGGGAGAAGAGGACCTGCCCTTTCCAGGGCTCCAGCCTTTGCCTTGCACAGGCAGGCAGCAGCTGGGCCCTTTCTGTGCAGGAATCTCTTGTTCATGCAGCTGCAGAGCTGCAGGGAAGCAGAGCATTGCCTTCTGCTCCTCCACCCCAGCCAGAAACAGAAGCCCCCAGCTGCGTGCCCAAGCCCGACCAGCATGGCAGCTGGAGAGCCCTCGCACCCCCTCAACATGGCAGCATGAGCCTGGGCTGCACTCTGGCCTCCACCCTTCTCCTCCCCGACTCCCAGTGCAGTGGCAGGAGCTGCCCCTGCCCGTGGCTGAGGAGGGCCTGGAGCAGGTACTTACTCTATGGCTTCTTCAGTGTGTGACTGTTGCTTGGTTTTCTGAAAGAGAAGGGAGGAGAGCAGCATCAGCCCTGCAGCCCCACAGCCGTTGCTCGCAGGGAGGGCATGCAGAGCTGGCGTCTCAGCCTCGGTCATACGCTCGTCGCACTCTGTTCTGTGCAGGGTGCCTGCACCCCTCTCCCAGTCCACCCCCAGCATGGGCATCCCTGCGTGTGCTGGGTGATGCCAACTGTCTGCATCCTCCTGTCTCGGGCCACAGGAAGGCTGGCGTGCTTGGAGCGCTGCTGCTAGCTGTACCTGCTGGTTCTCTTCTCGGAACCGGTGCCCTCGCAGCTCTCCTTGTAGCAGATGTCCTGATGTACCTTGTAGACTCTCCTGTACCTGCACACACAGCAGAGGGGCAAGTTGTAGGGAATAACAGGGACAGATCTGCTTTTATGAGTGCGAGGGGGGAAGTCTGGGGGTCTCCACCATTTCCTTCCAGGCTGTGGTAGCCAGCCTCGGTAGGAACGGGTCTGAGCCTGCTATGCCTGAGGGCTGATCCCACACAGCCAGGCCCTTGTGCCTCCATTGCAGGAAGGCTGGGCGAGACAGGGGACAGAGCAGAGGCCCCCATGCCCTGGCATTACAGCAGGGCTGGCCCCAGCCCTCTGCCTGCAGACAGGAGAGGCAGCTAGGAGCTGAGCTGGCAGGGGATCTGCTGCTGCCTGGAGGGGGGGTCACGCACACCAAATCCAACCTCACTGCCACGTAGGGGGGTAACATCGCTATAGGGCTGTCATTTCAGCAACACCCTGCCCTGAAACGCAGCTGGTGGGGCAGCCCCAGGGGCTCGAGGGCACATGAGGCTGCTCAGCCTGCGCTGGGGAGAGGGCAGCTGCCAGTGGGGGTCTGCGATGGCCTCGCGTTCGCTCTCCCTTCCCCGGAGCTGAGCTGCAGGGAGACATCCCCGGCTCTGAGCACAAGGGGAAGCGGGGAGCACAACCTGCAGGCAGTACTCACAGGTAGTGGCAGGTGCCTCCTTCCCACACGGGGAATGACTTGGTTTCCGAGTACAGCCGTGTGCACGAGTGTGGCACCTTCTTGCAGGCTGCTTGGGGAACAGGAGAGGGGAGCTATCAACAAGCCCGTCTCTGGCCCTGCCTGCCTGTGCCCCGTGGCAGGGGGGTGGCAAGGCCCCCCTGGCTTCCCCTGTGCTGTCCTGGAGGGCTGGCCTCAACAGAGCTGACGAGCCAGGAAAAGCAGAGCCCCCAGCTTTGCAGTGCCCAGATAACTACGTGGGCAGGGCAGGAGCCTGACTTGCCTGGCAGCAGTGGAGGGCTCGGCCAGAAGCAGGGAGCAGACCTGCACTCCCAGATCTGCCCCAACTGGCAAACACAGAGCCCAGCCCCTCTCTCTGCTCTTGACACAGTGCAGCCCTCTCTAGCGAAGCCTGGGCATGGTGGGAGCCCCCTCAGCTGGAAGGAGCCAGGTGCTGACAGGGTGTGCTCGGTGACCTGAGCCCTGGGCGACCTGTGGCTGGGACAGCTGCCAGGCTGGGCACGTGCCCGGGCAGAGGGAACTCGGCCCTCTGGCAGCAGCACAGCACTCACCCAGCTCGCAGAGCCGGCCCTTAAATCCCGGGCGGCAGTCACAGTGGTAGGACTCGGCGTCCCTGGCGCAGGTGCCTCCATTCCTGCAGGGGTTTGTGGAGCAGTTCTGCCCCTCGCCTGAAAACACATATGGATGTCAGACCCCAGGGCCACAGCACAGCCCTGCCCACCCCACCCTAATGTGCCAGGGTGCTTCTGGGGAGAGCTGCAAGCTGGCAAGCACGGATGGGGCAGCTGGCAGTGGCCCACGCCATGTCCCTTGTGTGCTTCCCGGCAGGGCAGCAACAAGAGGATGCCTGTGGGGCCCAGGCTGGGTCCCTGATGCTCATGCGTCTCCCCCCGGACTTACTCTTGCTTTTTGCCTCGTGCAGCTGCAGTGCTAGACTGCCCTGGCTGGACACCTCTGCATTCTCCAGCTTCACTGGAGCCTCCGGCTCTGGGCAACGAGAGGGTCAAATGTCACCTCCAGCCAGAGCCAGACCCAAAGGCAGCCCCTCTGATAGGATCCAGCCTGCCCGCAGCATCAGGGAGTTGGTCAGGCCTGAGGCGGTGGTTTAGCCTTTCCCAGCTGGCACCCCTAGAATTAGGGTGACCCCCTCACCCTTCTTGGAGGGCTGTGGGACACAGCCATCAAGTGTGCTGGGCCCCTTCCTCACCCCACAGTGTGGGGTTCCCAGGCCTAGCAGGGTATCTTGAGCTGGCACTTACATCCCTGGTGTTCCAAGGATGGCAAATGGGGGGGGCTAGTCCTGGGCTAGTGAGGGGCTTCTTGCCCAGGTGCTCTCCTCAAGTGTGAGGGGCTGCGCTGGAGGGCTGCAGGATCACTGCCTG